AAAAAAAGTTGCAAAAAAACTAAAATTAGGATGAATTCATAATAAAATTCTAAAATTTGGGCAAAAAAGGTAAAGTTTGGACCAAATTTGTAAAAAAAAATTAAAATCCGGGCCAAAAGTGTAAATTTTGGACCAAATTTGTAATAAATTTTGAAATCTGGGCCAAAAATGTAATTTTTGAAAGTTGGATGACCTGTTGACCGGGTCAAAGGATTAAATTGAATACGATTACCGGTATTTGGGACTTAATTGAATAAAAAAAATATATAGGGACTAAATCGATTATGAGGCCAATATGTAGGGACTTTATTGTAGTTTTCCCTTTTCTTTAATATTTTGGACAGAAAAAACTGAATTTTTAATAATTTTTTGCTGTTTTTTTTTAAAAAATAAAAAGTAATTACCTACGGAAAATCCGTAGGTAATATGAGCCGTAGGAAATCCGTAGGTGATAAAGTCAATGTTAGTTAAAGTGGGCTCCGTCAGTAATCCGTAGCAAATCTGTAGCTATGTATTTCAGTAGCTATTCCGTAGGAAACTAGTCAACTTTAGTCAAACTCAACTCTCGTCAGTAATCCATAGGCATTCTGTAGCAATTCGTTTCTGTAGCTAATCTGTATGTATGATACCTACGGAATTGGCCGTAGCTATACCGTAGCTAGTCCGTATGTACAAATTTCTCACGAGCATTTATGCTATAGAACATTTTCCGTAGCAAATCCGTAGGTATTACCTTATACCTACGGATTGTGCCGTAGCTATTGCCCTAGTTTTCTAGTAGTGCTTGTTTATGTCTTGTCGTGTCAATTTTTGTCATCCCTAATGATATGATATTTTTCATTCTTCATCTTACAAATATAGCATGCAGTATTTTCATAATACAAATAAATTTCACTTGTCATAAATTTTTAAAATATAATTTTCTAATAAGAAAAAATAAAACTAAAATGCTACATTTAAGTAAAATTTTCAAAGTGTAATATCTTAATAGAATAATCTTGAATTAAAAATAAAAATAGAATATTATAATATATTTGCATTTAGCACTTAATTACAAGTTCAAGTAACGGGATGAAATCGATATATGAGTTCATCAACAATTTTTATATTTTTTTACTTGGCATCTAAACTTTAATTATAATTTCACTCATTTTTTGTTACAGTTACAATTTGGTGATATAACATTACTGACTTAAAAAATCTTCAACGCCAAACTTGCCGAACACAACTTGCAACACTTTAATATTTTAAGAGTTAGTTGCAAACTCACTATGTAGACTACTTATATATACGAGGTTAGAGACCCTCTATCTCGTGTGCCATTATTTAATACAATATCATCTTTTGCAATTTCAAAAATTAAAACAAAAGATAACGATGTTGGGTGTTAAGACCCTAGTGATAATTTTATTTTTACAGGCAATGTTGGTGTCGATGGTGACTGAAGCAGCATCTGCAAGTAAGGTAAAGCGTGTTAAGCCTCCAAAGCCTGTGAAACCTGTACAAGAGCTTTTAACGTGCAAGAGTCGCAAAAGCAGGTGTTTCATGAAGCGCATCAAGTGCCCAGTAGAATGCCCCAAGGTTAAACCAAAGAACCCCAAAGACAAAGCATGTTTTCTTGATTGTTATTCACCCAAATGCGAGGCCGTGTGTAAATGTAAGTAAAAAAAAACCTTCCTCTTCATACATGCATGGAAATAAAGTTTTAACTAATTAATCATTTGTGTGGATGTGTGATAGCACGTAAACCAAACTGCAATGGACCTGGAGCTGCATGCTACGACCCACGATTCATAGGTGGTGATGGAATTGTATTCTATTTTCATGGAAAAAGCAACGAGCATTTTAGTTTGATATCTGATTCCGATCTCCAAATCAACGCACGTTTTATTGGACTTAGACCTGAAGGTAGAACCCGTGACTATACATGGATCCAAGCATTAGGATTCAAGTTTGGCCATCACAATTTCACTCTTGAAGCGACAAGGACCCAAAAATGGGATGATGATGTTGATCACCTAAAGTTATCATATGATGGGAAGGAATTGTTCATTCCAGAAGGCCATTCCTCCGAGTGGAATTCCACAGAAGGCGACATACAAGTTGAAAGGACTGCAACAACCAATAGTATAACGGTGAACATACTAGATCTTGCTGAAATATCTGTCAATGTAATTCCAGTATCAGAAGAAGATAGCAAGATCCATAATTATCAGATTCCAGCAAATGATAGCTTTGCTCACTTGGAAGTACAATTCCGATTCTTTGGTTTATCATCTAAAGTTGAAGGGATTCTTGGTAGAACTTATCGTCCTGATTTTGAGAATCCAGCAAAACAAGGAGTGGCAATGCCTGTGGTGGGTGGTGATGATAAGTACAAGACTAGTTCGCTCCTTGCGGCTGATTGTGCCCTCTGCGTGTTCTCTCCTAATGAAACCAAGGATGAACATGGCTCGCCAATGATGGATTTTGGCATGCTTGACTGCACGGGTGGAGGAAATGGAATTACATGTAAGAAATAAGTTTCTCATATAGTTTTTATTATACGCATGTAACGATTGATTTGTGTTTTCACATTTTTAACTATTTTTTTCTTACTTTTGTACTTGGCGAAGGTGCCAATAAATAAATTTAATTCCTTTTTTATATGTTTTAATTGATTGACGCAAGAAAATATAATAAATAAATTAATCATTATCGTTTTTTTACTGGTGTACTTAGTTTAGGTTTCTCAAATGTTGGTGCTAAATGAACTCCATAGATGGGATGTGTCAGTGTGTGGGATTCACACTGTGCGAGTAAAATGAAGTTTATTATATACAATTCAAGCAAATAAAACAAGAGAATTAGTGGAAATTATTTCTTTAGTTATTCAATATATACAATTCAACTTACATGGTCTAATGTAATTTTATATTATCATTTCATTTTTCATAAAAAAAATTATATATATTTCTCACAACGCGCTAAATTATATAGAAGTTCATGGGTACATATTAAAAAAAAGGTCATTTATTTGTTATTTTTTCTATATATAAAGAATACTAGGTTAAACCCGTTTAGAAAACTTATGAATTGTTAATTTTAAATAAAAAAAAAAGTTATACTATGTTAATTTTAAATAAAATTTAAAATTTAATTATGTAATAAAATAATATTTCATTAATTTAAAAAACTTATGAATTGTAATATTGTATTTTTTAATAACTTTGTGATTTGTAAATATTTAATTACACAGTAAATTGTAAGTATTTAATTAGAAATAGAGATTTTTAAAACCATTATTTTTTGTGCATGATTATCGTTTAACATACGAAGATGATGACACAACCACAATGAAGTAAGTGGGAAGAAAAGAACATTTGTTGGCTAAAACGCCACTTTTACAATTATAAATTACCATCTCAATAAATCAACTCTACCATCTCCATCATTTGTCATTGTCATTGTAGGATTTTTACTCATTCTTCATCGTTAATGATGTTAATTTCGTGAGATTAATAGAAATTGTTGTTGTATTCGTCAGTTTTTTCAAAATTTTACCTTGATTTACCACGTTATATGTTTCTTTTTTAGGCTTACTAACCATAACCTTGAATTTCGTGCAATGGTAGTGTTTATCTTCGAATATGTTCTATATTATTAGTAATTTTATAAATTTTAACTGTTTAATTACAAATGTAAAACCATCTATTTTATAAAAGTTATGACTTTATATAATGCAACATACATTTAAGTAATGATAAAAAAAAAACCCAAAAAACATCAAAATTGATTTGATACAAAACAAACAAAACATTTCAGTAATGAAAATAACATAAAAAAAAATACAATACATAATTATAAATAAATAAATTAATATGATGGATGAAGTGTAATTTACTAAAAATAACTAAAAGATGCTACAAAAATGTTGGTTATAAATTGTGAAAAACTTCCTTATAAACAATATTGAAAGTTTTTTTTTTGTGTATCTACATCTTTACCACCCGCACTTTGATATGTGAATCATAATCAATCTCTTCAACGTTTTTGAGGTATACTTTATTACCTATATTCATTTCCTGCAATAAATACTATTAATGATTAAAAATAGTTATGAAACATCAGATATTTATTAAATTCTATTAATTTAAACACATATCATTTTGTTTACATTTTATATTGAAATCGGTGTTGAGAAACATAAAAAAAATGGGATTCGACATTGAAAAAAGTATGAATCTTTGTTAAGTTTATGTTTTTATATTGAAATCGCTGCTGAAAAACATAAAAGGAATGGGATTCGACATTGAAAAATGTATGAATCTTTGTTAAGTTTGTGTTTCAATAATTTAATTTCATTTGTTAAATTGCGCATAATAGTAGAAATATTGAATTTGTATTCCCCTTCCAAGTAGCATAGATGTTAAAAATTAGGATTTGAATACCATAAATTTCCCAAAGGTTTGTAGTGTGTACAAAAATGGCCCTTATTTAACTTTTTTTTTTTTTTTCATTTTTATATTGGATAAAATAGCAAAGTAGTTTTAAAATATATTTCTTTAATAGACACATTAACAATTATACAAAAGTCACATATATAGATACAAATATGCATAAAATACATTTATATTGCCATTTGTATGAAAATATAACTAACAATTTGAAGTAAATACTTATTGTGAACAGATGTTAAGTTTCCTCATATTTTTTATCGTGTATATATTATTTTATTTAGTAATCACTTTTTTTTTAGATTGCAATAATATTATGGACTCATATAAGTCTAAAAAAAATATAAAATTAAAGTACTTTTTTTGGATAATAGAAAAAACAATAATTTGTCTATCGACTTTATCGACGCCAAATGTTATTAACACAACTTACAATATTATGTTTCTTTTTTTAGTTTTTTCTATTAAAAATTACTTAACTTCCTAATCAATGTTTTAATAAACAAACAAAATTTTTATTCATTTTGTTTTTCAAAATTTAACAATTTGCATATATTTGATTGGTCATGAGTGACCACCATACAACTTTGAATACTAAAAAAGAATTATAATCAAGTATATTAGTATATTGAAGTTTTAATTAGTTTAAACAACATGTATGGCTCTTCACCTTTCTTTTTCAATTTATTTTTTAAAATTTCAATATATATATATATATATATATATATATATATATATATATATATATATATATATATATATATATATATATATATACCTGCTGCTCGATCTTTCCAGATTCTTGAGCAATTCTCTTTCTTCTAGCAGGGGATTCTGCAAGTAGTTCAGGCTGCTCCCTTTATTATTTTTTGTTTCCAATTTTCACCTAAAAAGTATTATTCATATTGGAAAAGAAACAAAACCTGGGCTCATCACTTCAATCATGGCATCCATTATTTGTAAGCTCTTTTTTGCTTCTTGAATTTGGGCAGTAGTAACATGTCCAACAAACACAACATAATTATGAAAATTCAGAACTTTTTTTTTTCTTTTTGACTTAATAAGTAATTTAATAGGCACATTATATATCGGTGTTTCTTTTTTACTTGATGAGCTTCATGAGTTAAGCACTTGACATTTACTTATTTTCCTTTCTTCTTTTACCTCTCCCATTAAAATTGATGAATACTGTAAAACTTGCCTTTTAGAATGTAAGGGTAAAATAGGGCGAAAATATACCTTTCCCATTCCAGGAATCATTCCAAAAACACGAGACATGGAACCCATCCTTGCAACAACTCGAGTTTGCTTCAAGAAGTCATTGAAGTCAAATTTTGCACTCATGATCTTCTTCTGCAAATCTTCAGCAACTTCTTGTTTCATCTACATACCCATAATTATTTCAATCCATCATTTTTACAAAGAAAAAAACACTCACAACTTCTTGTGCTTTCTCCACAAATGAGAGAACATCTCCCATGCCTAAGATCCTTTCTGCCATTCGATCTGGATAAAAGGGTTCAAGATCCTCCATCCTCTCTCCACGTCCCACAAGCTTAATTGGATTTTCTGACACCTAATGTCACAAAATTAAACGAAATCTTATATCAAATAAACATCAATTGAGAAAAACAATGTTAAAGAAAGAGCAACCTCTTTAACACTCGGAGCTGCTCCACCTCTTGAATCCCCATCTAGCTTAGTTAGAATAGCACCAGTAATTCCAATTTCAAGGTTGAAAGTTGTCACCAAGGATGAAAATTATTAAAAAGGTTAGTATGGTAAATTGTTATATGTTTATATGTAATAATAAGTTATTTCAAAACACCTGCAGCTTCTTGCCCTGTCATCGTATCCACAAGAAGCAAAACTTTTGTGGGATTCAATGTTCTCTTCACATTTTTCAATTCATCATCATATTTTTGTCTATCTGGTAATAAAAAGGTAAAGGGTGTTGTGTTATATTAATGAAGAAACATGTCTTCTCTAATATCTGAAATGATTAAAAAGACATGTCATATAATTATAACCTGAAACCTTCCTGTTGTATCCATTATAACCGCATCTACATTCTTTTTTTTTTTTGCCTCTTGAAGACCTTGTCTAGCTATTTCTGCTGGTTTTACATTAGTCCCTACTGCATATACAGGAGCATCCACCTATCACAAACTTATATCTATCAGAATTGAGTTTTAAGTGACCCTGAAAACTCATTGAGAAATATCAAACTTGTATAAGTGTCAACTTCATACCTGTTTATCTGCAACAAAGATGTAAGATGAAAAATGGATTTGGAAAGAATAATATGATAAAGGTCGCAATTAAACTAAAACCCTAGTATACCCGATTCATTGGGTGGAGGTGCCACCCTTAAGGTCGTTGGAAGCAGGAGAAAAAGAGAAGAAGAAAATGATTGATATTGAAGATTAGGGGAAAATAAACGTAATATACCTAAATTCGTGCCAACATTCAACATAATTCATAAGGAAAAAACCCTAATTCAAATCAGAATCGTATAAAATTTACTGAAGTGAACCATAATGAAATGTATTTTCCTTATCCAATGATCCATCATAGAAAAGCATCAATTCTTAATAAGAAGATATTTGGAGATAGTTGTGGTGAAATAGGGTTTAGGGATTCATACCGACTTGAAAGAGACGACCTTTGGACAAAAATATAGTAACGACAATGGAGAACTGAATATTATAGATGTTACGATAGAGAAACAAAATCTGAATTTTTAGGAAGTTGACATAAATTTTGTAACCTATTTCGTCTCCGATGCCTCTACTTAGGTTTGAGAAGAGATGAACTTTCATCATGCACCATGGAGGAGTAGATTGTCATTATTGAACCTGCAAGCAAGAAAACGAAGCCATTAGGGTTTCCATCGGTGCATACTGATAAAGAAAATAACAACTAAGAAGACCAACAAATCAATCCTTTTATCTCGTGGATTTGTAGATATAGAGGGATTTGATTGTGAAAATTACAGCCGTAAATTTAGCAAAGATTTGAAATTTCAATTTGAATTTGAAGATATAGCTGGAAACATGAATCGTGTAAAAAGAAATGAAGGGCAGTTTGGACATTCAGTTTAGTAAAAGTAGCGGGAAAATTTGATTTGGAGGGGCTTGGAGAATGCCACGTGGAAAAAATCTACTTATTTATTAGATTAGGAGATTTATTTTCTATATTAGTTTATTTGTTATGCAACTTCATATCCATTGGTTATAATTAACTTAAAGCAGAATGTTTATCATTGCCTCGCGACGAAAGAAAGGTCTTATTTTTGTTTCGAGTAAGTTTACTCTTTCCATTTTTCAAATAAGACCTTATGTCCATCACAAAGCAAGGGATAACCTTCTACTTACATATGATCTTTTAAAAAAAGTCATTTATTTGTTATTTATGTTTTGATTATGTTGATCTTTCAAAAAGATAATTTGTCTGTAACATCTGTTCTCTAGATTAGATCAGTTGAAGACTTAGAGGGATCAAATGTCACTACAAGAAATAAAAGCAATAGCGGCGACACCATCAACAACGACACGTAATTTGCAGGTTACGTGTCACTGCTAATAGTAGAAAACCACGATCCGTTTCAAAACAATCTGGTTAATCATGTTCGTTGATATGGACATAATCGAACGGCTGAAAATTTACATTTTCACGATTGCTTTTATTTTTTCCACTGAAAATTTAATTCAAATGACAAACAAACCATTGGTTTAAATATAATAACATTGAGATAATGATATTGAAGAGAAAAATATCTCATTAAATTGTTTCCAAAACTACATCCTTGTTCTTCCTCATTTGGCTCTACAAGAGCATCTTCTTCTATCGTTGTTGCAATCTTCACTAATGCAGACTCTTCAAAAGCTTGTCTCACACGTTTTACTAGATTAAGATAAACTCCATTTTTCGTTGTAAAAGAATAAAGAAATTTGAACAATAAGGTGCAAAATTAAGCATAAATCAATAATCTATAATGATGCAAGAAATAATTAGCAAATATGTAATGGAGTTACCTAGTATACAAATTGGGGGAAGTTTTTCCCCTTTTATTCTCAATTCATCGACTTCTTCTTTACTCAAACATTCAGGTGCTTCTCTATAAGTTTAGGGTAATCTGGGGTTGCATGTTTCCACGACATCACAGTGTATTGTAGACGAGTATTATGGTCATAGTGTCTACCACGGAAAAGATAAAGCACACCACCAGTTTTGGGAATAATTTTACCATTCTCCTGTTGTTTGAACTTATATTTAGCAGTAGGCACCAGGTACTAGCACGTGATGAAAAATGAAGATCCCAAAATGGTTTATTTAGATTGAATCAAAGAACCTGAAAAACGCGACACATGTTTCTCATGTCGACAATGGAAACACTAGGCATCGGACTTTTTAGACGGGATCTTCCAGCGATAATGTATTAGTTCTAACATATTATCCGCCAATTCATACCTTCCTATAGGTTACACCATCTAATTTATGAGTTAATAAAACCATGTTCGTTTCACTAGTGAATTATAATCGTTATTATATGCAATTTTCAGGTTGTTTCTTACAAAGATTGACTTGCCGATTACTAGAAATGTGCACTACTCTGTCTGCTCTACTTAGTGGCTTCCCAAGCACTTCCTCCCTCAACTTCACTTCAAAATTCCCAAGCTTATATGGTTTCAGCATCTCCAATTGCTTGAAATTGGATTAGTTACCAAGATTCAATGACTCGAAAATTGTAATCTTCTTGGTTGATTTATTCAATGGAGCCTTGTTTGTCCAAGGCCTTGGCATAATGGGTGGTGCGAATGGCAAAAAAGTCGGCTCTATAATGGCAATTGGCTTGGTTAGGTGAATTTCAGAGTAATGACGTTATTTCGGTTCATCTCCATTTTAGTGAAACTCTTCCTCACAACCAATAAGTCATCGAAGGATTCAAATGGGTGGGTGATGGTCCTTCTCATTTTTTAGTTGTACACCAACATATAACGACAAGTGTTAGGATGTGAGCTTATGGTAGCAATTATTATCCTGATGTGTGTTTTGAGAAACTAAAATTGGTTGCTTTATTTTAAATATATAGGGACACAATTGTTAATTCATATATTTTCAATGGAACTATCAAAACTTTTCGTGGCAATATCACCTCCCATAATAAATACATGTATGGAAAAAATTGAAAAAAAGTAGGATGCAATAATAGAAAAAATGAAAAAAAAAAAAAGGTTTGATGCTATAATGAATATGAAATATGTTTAGGAAGCATGTTTAAGTGTATTTGTATGTATAATGTGTATTTATGTATGTAATTTGTGTATAGATGTATCAATTAATTTTTTGGAAAGTACAATGTTATAATGGAAAAGATTATTTTTGTATATGTATTTGTATGCAATTTGGAAACTACAATGCCAAAATGGAAAAAAAAAAAAAAAAAGTAGGATGCTATAATAGAAAGTGTATTATTTTTGTATATGCAATGAGTAACTTTTATTCATATTGTAATTTTGCAGACTAAATATAGGGTTTAGTTGGACGATACTCTTCTACATGATGGCGGATGTTATAAGCCTATGATGTGGAGGTGATGGTGTCAGGGATCCACCACCTCCAGTAGACTTTGGTCATGGACAACACGAACAGGATGATAAGTCTTATTATGATATATTTATTAGCTATTTTTATTCAATTATTATAAGATCTCGTGACTAATATTTTTAATTATATTTTTCAGTTGAGATTTCTAAAAAAATGAAGAGGTCTATCAAAAAAAACATTCAGCTATCAAAGTTGATACGAGCAAATAAAGGAAAGCCCCTGGATTTGGTTTTGACAGGGAGCTCACATATTCCCCTTTTGGGAATCGTGGTAATTGCTTCACCTGTGATATGGGAAGGTATATGTGGATGAACATCCCTTTGAACGTATCTGATTGGGAAAATATTTACCCGCTTTAAGAAATGCCACAGTCATGCATCTAAAGGTAAATTAGATAATATCTTAATTTTATTTGTGATTGGTATTTATTTAACTTTTTGTATTTGTAGAATAAGTTTGATTTTGATAAGGTTAACATGGATCCCAAGCGTGCTCAGTTGTTGCAAAGCATTGATACGACTTTACAAAGAGTTTATAGAGGTCGAAAAAATAAAGCGCGTATTTATTTTTAGAATGTTGGGGGGCTTACAGATATCCCAAGGGCATTAGCCACGCCCCCCCCCCTCCATCATCCGCCCCTGAGGGTATGTCACATGAAAATTTGGAGCAAACAGTCGAACATTATCAAACGCCCGGATTTTTAAAGCGTTCAGCGTAAAATAAAGGAGTCCGTGCACAACAAGTTGTAAACAGAGGGGATCGTGCTCATATAGCAATGTCTGCTTCAAAGAAGTAAGTTATGATATATTTAATTGTTTATTTAAATTATAATTGATCTAATTTTTAATGCTAAATAGGACATCACTCGAATCGAAACATTTCGTAAGGGTAAACTGATCGTCAAGGGGTATTTAGTAGTCATGTAGTCGAGCAACAATACATAAGTGCTTAATTTTTATTTTCATATAAGTGTTTATATAATCAAGGGATATTTAATAATCTAATTTTTATGATGTTTATCATTTTTTGAAAATACAAAATGCTTTACTCCATGAGATCAATCAACAAACTCAAGCTTTTTCTATAGCCAGCAATCTTACACCAAAGGATACACAAAATTGTTTTGAAAGAATATTGGGTGTTCGGCGAGGCCAAATCAGAGGCATTGGGCGTAAACCTTCTACGGTTGTGTCGATGTAAAATCAAGAACAACCACTGACACAACCACCGCCATAATAATAGGTAACAAGACTATTTAATTTTGGTAATTGTTTCAAATGTTGGTAATTGTTAGTTTAGTAATAGTTTAAAATGTTAGTGATTATTAGTTTGGTAATAGTTTATATGTTGGTAATTGTTGGTTTGGTTATAGTTTGATATATTTGTATTTTGTAGTTTGTAATTGTTAGTTTATGAAAGTACAAAGCTATAATGGAAAAAATGAAAAAAAATAGTACAATGCTATAATGTGTTACATGCAATATGTGTAGTTTGGTAATTGTTAGTTTATGAAAGTACAATGCTATGATGGTATTTTATAGTTTGGTAATTGTTAGTTTAGTACAATGTTATAATGTGTTATATGCAATATGTGTAATTTAGAAATTGTTAGTTTATGAAAGTACAATGCTATAATGGTATTTTGTAGTTTAGCAATTGTTATTTATAGTACAATGCTATATTTTATACTTTGCTTGTATGTGGAATGTATATTTTGTATATAGAATGTTATAATGTTGGTTTAACTTATAAGACTATGTTGTTTTCTTGGTAGTTGGACACGCTTCAAACAATGTTAAAAGATTATGCATGTAGTGCCGCGCTTGAAGATTGGTTTCGTTCGTTGCCACAACGAAATGAAACCAG